CGTGAATGTGAAAGGCTGGCTTAACTCGCACTTAAATAGTGCCAAATTCTGCGACACTGAGGTACAATGAGCAGCTGTGTCCCAGAAGTCCCGCGAAAAACCGGCAAATTGTTAAAGAATAGGCTGCATGAGGTGCAGCAGCCATTTTTATATAGATAAATGTTCCAACTGCTTGACTGTGAGCGCAAGAATCAAAGACGCACTTGTTCGCTTGTCGTATCTGCAGGCAAAAATGCCTGATCCAAGCGTATTCAGCAAAAAGGGGCTAGCTCCATCCGTGAGGAGTTTTAATTCAGTTCATTTTTGAGGAATTTTAATTTTTTTTTTTGAGGAGTGAGGAGTTTTAATTCTATACCGGAAAAAGCAGCGTTCAAATTGTATTTTCAAAAATCGAATTATTATATTTTCAGATATCGCAATACGGAAAGCCGATATCGCTGGCAATTGTGGACTTAACGAAGCATCGACGACCATACATAATTATGAAAACATTCAAGTGACCGTGGACCTGCAGTCCAATCAGCTTTTGCTAATTTATGCACCAATTTTGTAAAATTTTTTTGTACAGACATGATCACTGAATTGTGCTTTCAGTTGTGCTTTGCCACTGTCAAATTTATTACTTGAGTGTGTGTGTGTGTGTTTATGTACATACATATGAGTGTGTATTTTGTCTGTCGCTAGACAGATTGGATCATCGAGCAGTACAAATGCAATGTTAAAAGAACACAGGGAAGGCCATCAACGTGTGGTGGAAGGATCGGCTTAAATAGCTGCACGAGGTTGCATAGATGAGAGAGGCCCAAAACAGAGAAGAATGGAGAAATTGCAAGCTGTAACATTGGCCAAAAGAAACGCGACAATGCTAAATTAGCTGATCGGAGAATCGGTGTCAGTATACCTAAGCCTTTTGAGCGTATCTCACGAAATACCCTTCTAACGGCGGCAATTTATCATCAAAGTAGACGGGGGGCTTAGTGTCACTCGGTCAGTTAGAATGGCATGTTTTTCCAATTACATGATTACTTTTTTGAAAATCAGTGTTTTGTTTTGAAATTCACTTTGATTGCGAATTTTACAGCTCGCAACTGTGCAGTTTTCAGCTGATTTCACATTTTTTTGACTGATTTCAAGGTGCACCTTCGTATAGGTCGGCGTATCTGAAGCACTACCAGTGGTATTTTCAACGTTGCCTAAAAACGCTATTGCATTATCACTCATCAGCCTCATGCCGTTGCATTTTTGTGTTTTCAAATTTTTACTGAATTTTTTCGACTATCGCTTGTTGCAAAATTTTGTGTAGTTACAAGATGTTTCTTGCTTTCATATGTGAATATATCTATTGTTACAGTTGCTGCTAGATCAACTCCACCATCATTTTGCTTCCAAAACATAAGTGGATTTAACTGTGATCAAATTAAGTTTGAACTCAAGTTGGATTGGGCCGAACAAGAGAAAGCTGAACTGAATCGCACAGTTACCCGGCAGGAACAACTGGTTCCACGCAAAAATGGATCGAATTGGAAATGAAATGGAATTGAGTTCAAATTGTGAATTAAAAAGCTTGTCAGCAAATTAAATGGAGTTGTATTATGATAATTTCAAAGCTTTTTGTTCATAAATGATCTAAAAAAGAATCGATTCCCGTACAGGAATAGAATGAATTGAAGCCGACGTGAATTGATTTCAAATTTAAGCTAAATCGATTAAGAACAATCAAAATCATTGGCGACGCGCACCAAGCAGGCTCCTGCGATTATGCGTTTTTGCAGTCCTTTGTGCTGTAGTAAAACTGCTTGGAATCACAACAGCTAGAGCTATGTAATGAAGGTTGTAGAAATGTAGCTAGTGTTGGAAAAATAAGTACGAGAGAGTTAAAAGACTTTTCGGTCCATTAAGTCATATACGTCTTAGCTCAACACTGTGATTGTTTATGATTGTTTTGAGGCCAAAAGTCCATGAAAGGAGTAGGGATAAGAGTTAAAAGTCGAAATCCCCTCCATATTCACTTCCTCTAAGAGGTGGAGGCATTCGTGCTAATAACTACCACTTGCAAGTGCTAGTAGCAACTACATGATTGTGACAAGATTGTCGATGGCTCTCTCTTCCGAGACATTTGCTGGTGGTTACTTACAAGGAGGATTTGTCTCTCTGGCATGCAACAGTACCAATTTACCATCGAAACACAAATGATGAAGGGGCTGGCCGTCCCACTGGATCTCCCCTGCACGACGAGGATACATTCTGCTTTTAATTGCATGTGCCTCAAGAGGGCACTGAGGAAATAGAAGAATAGAAGGATTTCACTTGAATGTAATGTGTGTATGAGAAGACATTTTATGACGCAGTCTGTGTTTCATCCCTTAGCTGTAGAAGAAGAAATGTGAAGAGGGATGCTAAGATGGGATGTCGGCGATGTGGAATTAGAGATTGATACAAGAGGATAGCAACTTGCATCCCTAGCATCATCCCCTGTCACCTGAAACTAGCGTCCCTTGTAACACAGAAGACTGGTGCTTTGTTTTAATCTCTCGGAACAAGGAGCCACTGGGACTCTGCCATTGGCTCCCTTCCGCACCTCAGAGCCTTTCATCACCAGTTGCTCTCTGGTCCCGAAGCGAATTATTTCAATATTTGCGTCACTTTCAGGTGGAGGGTCATCGGTTTGTTCCTATGAAAACGGATATCCCTCCTTCGGAAATCGGTATTCTCGTCGTGCGGTCGTTTTGGGCTGAGTTTTTCTGGCCGGAAGGTAAGGAGTACTGGATTTCATGAATATGAGGGAAAAGATCCCTGGTTCTGGGATGGGGAACTCCGGATTGGTGGACTCGAGAGGGATTCTGAGCTTGAGAGAGAGAGAGGGAGAGGAAACTCTGGATTTTATGGAATTGATAGGGAAAAACTCGGGACTTTGTGCATTTTAGATTTAGGAGCAATTTCACAAATCCTGAGATTTACGGGATTGCTGGGATATGCGGAAAGATTTCCCTTACGGCATCATTCACAGCACTGGCAGTTCTCACAGCCTGAAATTCGAGACGATGTTTTTGTAAAGTGCCTGTGATATAGGGATGATTTCTTACGGATGTTTTCAGGAATCCAAAGATGTGGCAATGATTTCACGGCGTTTTCGCATACAGGCACGATTCCGTGATTCGTTTCTTTTTGAGATTCATTTTTTCTTATAATAATCTGAAATTTTTCCCTATCTGGCATTACGCAATTTGAAAATTAGCATTGTTTTTTATCAGAAAATTGAGCTGATTTATCAATGCTTTGCTCAGCTGGTGTTTCATCGCGTCACGCTTCTTCTCGCCATTGATGCAACGCGCTGGCAACTTCTCCATTCTTCTCTGTTAAATGCATTAGGGAGGGAGCGGCTATTTCATTGCTGCATTTCTTCTTGCAGCCGCGGATGCAGCTCTCGCAAATTCACCATTCTTCTCAGTTTTGTGCTTCTCTCATCCACATAATTCTGTAAATGCGCTGGAAAGGGGGAGAATGTATTTCGTTCCCTTTCTCGTTTTTCTTCCTAAAGATGCTTCGATGACTGCAGTGGATGCCAGGATCAGCAGCAGCAGCACGTCTTGTTCAAGGTGAAGCAGTAGCAGCAGCAGTAGTAGCAGCAGCAGCATCAGTAGCAGCAGTAGCAGTAGCGGCAGCAGCAGCAGCAATAGCGATAATTGCAGTTTCCCCAACTTGATGTGGTTCTCAGCCTACTCTTTAAAAAAAATTTTTTTTTGTCTGAACAAACGATGTATATTTTGCGCTTCCAGGCTCGCCCAAATATCGCATGTGCCTCAAAACGAAGCAAACCACCGCCGCCACCTGCTTCTCCCACGAAAACACAGCCTGTTGTCGAGGAATTTGCCCAGCCATTGCCCCAGGCACTTCAGCCGCAGCAGATTGATGCGGATGTAGCAGTGGTGCCCAGTAGCGCCAGTGATGTGGAACTTCATGAGCTGCAACCTCTGTCTCTGCATCCTTCTCCTCCGGTGCCATTTCCCGAAGAAACTCCCGCTGAAGCGAGCACAAGCGAAGCAGTCGGTAAGTTCCCAAAGAGGAATTTCGCAGTCGATTACCCATTCCCCCTGAAGGTTCTAGACATAGTTTTAATCATATGCCCGGAGTAAGAGCTTTTTAGACGGGTACAGGTCGACACAGGCACCAGTGCTACAAAAGTCAGGGTCTAAAGCTAAAACTGAAGAAAACTCTCTTCCGCTCCTCCCGTTGCCCAGGAGCCTTTTCTTCCCCAGTAGCCGCCGCACCGGTAACCCCACTCCCCCGCCTCCCAGGAGGCCATCCTGTATTCGCCAATGTAGCTTCTTCTGACCACCTTGCTGATATGGGCCTTACAGGAGGCAGGTTCACAGCTATCACATGGTCCATTTGCGAATTTCTTTCATCTCTTCTGGAAGCGAAAAATAAGCTGAATTTTGATTGATTTTGAAGGAATTTTCTTACAAACAAGAAGTTTGATCAGGTCTTACCGCTGCTCGCACAAATTTAATATTTTGCAATTCCTCTCTCGTTTGCTATTATTACATCCGCGTAGCTCCACAGGGGACGTTTTCATCACATTAAGGTCGGGCACATCCGGCGTGAGTTAAAGCTGAGAGATGAAACACATACAGACCTTTTCCCCCAAATATTCCTTTCCACATGACTTTTCAACATGTCATACGATTTCTTGCCATATGAATTGCCCTACAATCTTTTCCTTTGCATCGTGTTATTTCACTTTATTAAACTAGCTCCTCTCTGCACATTTTGTTTGCGTTTTTGATCGTCCTCTTGGTTTCTGTTGATAATGACTACGATACGGCCTTATAATGGCCGCAAATTGTAATTTGGAGAATGTGTGGGTTCCATTTATCTCAGTTCGCTTTGTTCATCTGTTGTCTCTTATTCTTACCGCACCTTTCCTAGCACTGTTTTGATAGCATTTTCCATAGTACCACACGAAAATAGATTGCTACATGTTATCGCTTAACTTACCTATTGACACAGCGTATCATTACAAAAGACTGGCCGTTACTTCAGAAATTATAGCCTACCAATGGCCGCAACAAAATTTTTTTATCAATTTAACCCACTTCGGCCGACCCACTTGGATCGTCCACTTCTGATTCGGCCTTGGAATTCACTTATCATTCCAAGGTTTCATGGTATGCATAATACTCCAGCACTTCGGAAAATTGCCAGGCTAAAGTTTCGGGGAACATTACTACTGACTGGTTTCTCTCGGGAACCCTTCAAGGGGTAAAATGAAAGTGTCAGAAACACCATCGATCTAACTGTCGGCCGATGCATCATTGCTGAAAGCAGCTGGAAAAGTAGTTGTCGGATGCACAGGTGGAGGGAAGGCCATATTTTTTGAGTCCACTTTTTCATGCTTTGAACCATCCACTTGTTTTAAAGGCTACCTACCAACAGCCGCAAATTATTTTAACAAACTTATCCCACCCTTCATTTTAACTTTCTGATTACGGCCATTCCACATTTTGATTTCTTTGGATCGTCCCAATTGTTTTAAGAATACAATTCGGCTTTTTTAACGGCCGCAATTTATTACTCACAAATGGTCTAGTTTAGTACAAATATATGCAATGTACTTTTGATGGTTTCGTTGAATTTAAGTATTTTTGAGAAAAAGGCGAATTGGACGAGGAATTAAGCTATGGATCATATCAGCCTAGAAAATTACGGCTGCTTTCATCGCCCAGAAGCAGTACATCTTCAAAATCACCACGATCGCAACCAGCGGTAAAATTGCGGCGATCAAAATCACCGTTAAAATCACCTCGATCAGAATCACCACTAAAATCACCTCGACTGGAATCGCCGTTAAAATCACCTCGATTCCGCTCACCGCTTAAATCACCGCGATTATCACAATCATCGTTGAAATCAGCGCGATCTCAATCAATAAAAGCATCGCAGTCAAAGTCGCAGCAGCGGCAACAGTCGCCTCTAAGATCGCCTCAGGCGCAATCACCGCTGAGATCGCCAGTTAGCTTCTCATCGCAAAAGCAAGTTTTTTTTAAATGTCAAATTTTTGTGCGAAATTTATTAAAATCTCTTCTTTTGACTTATTGGATCTTAAATCTCTTGGATCTAAAATTAGGTCTTAAATCTCTTCTTATTCTTAGCGTCCATCTCCACCACCTATGCATGCATCTGGCAACTTTTCCATTTGCTTTGACCAGGGCTGTTGCATCATCTGACCCGCTGCTCCAGGGCGATTCCTCGTTTTGTTCTGCAGAATTTATCAGCTCAACAGTTTTTCCGATACGAACTGTTAACAAAGTTTTTACCTTTTTTTTACCAATATTTTTGCTGAGCGTTTGATATCAGTCCTTTCTCCTCTTCCATTCCGCCTTCCCCTTTTCCCTCCCCCTATCCCAAACATTGCCAATACTAGCAAACGATATGTGCTACCTGCACAACTCGCTGTAATTTTACATTTTTCCAAAAAAAAAAATATCCATTCTTTAATTTTTATGGAATTTTATTTGATTTTTTTTGATATGCAAAAACTAAATTGGATATAAAACCAAATTTTTTGTAGTGCTTATGATGACGATGATGAGGCATGTGGGGAGCGTGTAAGGACACAATCCATTGCATCATGGTATCAGTTATCACCAACCAAAAGTGAATGCCAACAAAAAACGAAGTATGCTTTGTTGGTAAAAATTTATCAGTAGAAAGTGTATCAATTATTTCGACTTTTTTTTTAAAAAAGTATTTTGGTATTTATCCTAATTTCCTGTTTTGCAGGAAAAAATTCACTGGCAATGAACCGTTGGATCCGAAGACAATGACCATGCAGGATTTGATTTTCTGGAATCCA